ACGTTTGGAAAGAAGTGCCGAAGACCAGCATAAATGATTTAAATTCAAATAATTTTACTAGCATCAAAGCTCTCCGTGAACTAGAGTCCTACAAGTATACGTATTTTTAGCGAAGACTGTCACTAGGATAAAATTTGATTCGAGGTTTTTATTTTTCTAGGGTTGCCTTTCAAAATATTCTCCATTAAGATCTATACACTATTCATGCAATATTGAATGTATTCTGGTCCCACTATTCCTATAGTTCTCTCAATCTCAGGATAGGTCAAATGCCGATCTTGCAATAGCAGTTTGCGCACATCATCAATAGTTTTCGGAACACAACTGATTTTGGACGACCTGCACGAAATTCGTCTTGGAGTCATCTACGACCTCAATTGAAGTCACCATACCATCGATAAACACTGGTGCTTGATGGAGCTTCATCGCAAAATCTAGAATTAAGTTCATCGATGCACTGTTGCCGCGTTAATCCACGTCGAAGTTGTAAAAAATTATAGTGAGAAAATGTTCGCGGTTCAATTCCATTTTTTGGCCGAGATGAATAGTTTAAGTTACTATAAACAATCAAATAGCGCTCATATGTTAAAATGTTCTGAGTATGTATAACATAGAAAATGTCAAACTTTATGAAAAAGTTGTTAGATGTCAGATTGCAACATTAAGGTTGCCAAATCCCAAAATATAAAAGGTAACCTACGAATAGACTTTTTTAAGCGATTGCGAAAAGAACAAAGAGCTGTATTCAGATTTACTGGAAAGTATTCTACAGCACTGAGAGATCATATAATTACCGAAAAAATATGTTGATTGTTTAGAAAATTTCAAAGCGAATCACAACCTAAACTCGATTATTTAGTAATAGTTAATTCATTAAAAATTTTACATGGCACTGAAATGGATTGCGACTCAATAGGAGAGAGGAAGCTCTCCCCAGCGCACCTGAAAAAATGTTAGTTGTGTGAATATGTGTGAAAGGTCGTATCTGTAGTATTTTTCAAAAATCCATTTACAACGGAGCTGTTTTCTTCGTTGCAAGTTTAGAAAATTCTAATTTTTTAATCAAACTCTCTGAACTTCGTAAAATAATCGAGTTTGAGCTGGTGCAATAAGGAGCTTTCGTTTTTACCGTTTATTATATTGTCACCCGCCTACAAAGTGTAGCTTAAGTTGCAGTCTCAACTATGCAAGGTAAATAAAATTGATCTTGACTTCCTCTAAAAACAAGTGATCAGCAAAGGTAAACGAGGTACCAAATTTAGCGGAGTTTTATTCAATAATTTGGACTATGGGTTAATAAATCACTGTTAGTTTCGTATAATACTATTTGATGGAAATAGGATATGCACGGGTTTCAGTGTTTAAAAACACCTTTGATTTAATTTTCACTCTTCAGAGTTCCAAAGAGCACGCGAACCAATATACAGCAAGACATCGCGAAATCAAATCTTCTTGTTCAATAATATTGTATGTACTTATTGTATTATTTCGAGATTATTACACTATTACAAGATTATTACTCTTGGAGTAACATGAAGCACTGGAATAATGAGATCTATGCGCATATAATTATATTTACCAAATTGTAAATAAATAAAACTTACAGTATATAAAGTGCAAAACAAAGTGCATAGTCATTTATATCTAGAAACATATGTAAGTATATGTGATATAACACCAACTGTGTCAATTCCGGGCAGGTGAAGCGAGGAAATGAAAACTAAAAATGCATAATTTCAAAAATTTCGTACAAACTAGTTTCATTTCCGCACACAACAACGAAACTCAAGCAACAAAATAAAAATACCAAATAACTGAAATATGTAAAAAAAAGAAATAACCACTTTAAACACACACACATTGTAGTTGTTGCACAGTAAAATTTAATGCGGCAACTTTATAGCAAAACAAAATGCATAGAATTTTCTAAAATTTGTGCCGAAACTTTTGCCGCTGCAGGTAACTGTCAAAATTGATTTTACTTAGCACACTTGCACTCGCCTCTCTGAGTGCACGCCTGCCATGGCTGAAATTAATACCGTAATTGTGAATGTTGCTTTTATGTAGGCTATGTATGAGTACAGTTGTTTGCGCCGCTGAACTTCCTCGCGTGTGCATAAATAAGAAAAACTTTTTGGCCTACGCTGCTGAAGCCAAAAATTCACAGGTGGCAGCGCTTTCGTGCGGCCAACAAACAGAAATTCCAAATTGCATGTATGTATGTATGTATGTAAGTGCGGGTGGTTATAATATACCGCTACTGCACACTGTTCCTAGAAAAGTGGCTAGAACTGTGCGATGAGCCACACACCAACTAGCTTGGCTTATGCAACTTTGCCTAATTAAAAATCACAAACCGTTAGTGACAGCATTCATTGCAGACGTTCCGCTCCGGCGCTGATGCAGAGGAGAGGTTAGTGGAATTGAGCCAACGTTGCGGCTAAATTTCAATTTTTATTTCAATTATAATTTTTCAGCTGCTCAGCGTAAAAAAAAACTTAATGGATTTCTTCTCGCTCTCTAAGAAAGGATTATGGTCTCGAACTTCGAAGTTGGCTGGCATTGGTGTGTTTTACTGTAAAATTTTGTAAGTTAGCTGCACAACTTTCTTGTAGAAGTCAATCAAATACTTTTTTCAGCATAGTAAGTTTCAACTACAGTCTGCTTTGCCATCATTCCTTTCGGCGCTCGTAGAACTGTCATAATTTTTGGTTCTTCAAAATTTCGTTGGATGGAAATTTTGTTCGTAGTTTGTAACAGTCATTTTGTTCTTCATTTCATTATTGTTTTTGTTTTCTTTTCCACATCCATTGAGCTGTTATGCTGCATTCGGTTTATTAAGAACTTTTCGCCGAAAAAGCCAATTAAGTTGTCAGTCAAAGAGTTGTGAAAATTTTAATTTTTCTAATTATCGCTAGAATGTTTAACCCGAAAGCCACATGTTGCAGAGCTAGATGACGCTATATTCAAATAACTTTTTCGTGTTTGGCAGCATAGAACATAGATATTGATATACACTCTGTTGCAAAATTATAAGTCTAATAAAATTATGGATGTCAAGTCTAACCGGTAAGTTTTTTGAAAAAAAATTTCAGCTATTCAACTTGTATATTGTCAACTCTAATAAATCGGAAACAGTTTTAATAACATAGCTGTACAACAACAACAACAACAAAGATGTCAACGCAGGATACGACAAAATATGTTTCGTACTTTCTACCCTTGGTAACATTAAAGCGTCTCACCAAACAGCATAGAGAACCTTAAAATACTGTATGAACCTAAGAGAGGACAAAATGAATCAACTGCCACTTCTGCTACTCCGCACCAAGACCGCATGGAGGAATTTATACGAGCGCAACACCTCAACCAATTCAGCCTCCGTAAGCGATATTGTTATTTCATGAAAATTACAAAACTGGCAATGAAAATGTACTTCCATATGATATTTTTGAATGAAAAGAGTTTAACTTTGATTGCCCAGGAGGCTTTAATGGATACTGGCATGATATTCGAAAATAACCGCTTCAAGTTTCAAAACGAAATTTTTGCGGAGAGAGCGTAATTATTCCGGGAGCGATGGCCTACACGAAAAAGTTATAACTGCAGTTTCGTTCTCAGTGAATGAATAGCCATGATTACATAGCATTTTTCAAAGCAATCTTGTTCTCCTCTTAACTTTCAACAAAGAAAAAATTTAATATTTCATGTAAGTAGGCAAACTAACTATTGGATAATATTGATGGTCTAAAGACCAAAATCAAATCGATTGAGAAGATCTAGGGGACATCAGTTGGACATTTATTTGCTAAACAAAAAAAACATATTAACTTAACATAACGCTTTTCCCTAAGCATTTTAAATAAAAAATTATTAACGACATTTCTTTCAAGAGCATTGAAACTAAAAAAAAATCATAAAAGCCCGCAAAACAGAAGTAGTAGCGATCTTACAGTATTGCAACAAGTACAGGTTGGTTACAAAGTTTCTGCGCTCGAAATGAAAAAATATTGTTTTTGATACAAAATATATTTGTTATTCAATATAAGCTTCCTTAACTTCAATACACTTATTCCAATGATCCTGCAATAATTTTATGTCATCCCTCTAATGACTTTCCAGAAGTTCTGCAAAGTTTTCGTTCTACGACTGTAATAGTTTCTTCATTCGACGAAAAACGACGAAAAACAAGAACTTGATTCCGAACGTTCAATTTGTAAAATCAACATGCTCGTCGTAAACTCAATATACCCTGTTCAGGGTATAAAAATTTACAGCTGATAATGCTATTTCTTGGTAATTTTGACTCAAATGAACACTACTATCATCAGGAAAATATATATCTCAGGTATCAGTAAAGCTATATTTTCGGTAAAAAAAAAATTAGCTATTAGCTATATATTCGGTATCTGCGGTCTTCAACAGTTATGGTCCGATTTCAACAATTTTTAGCGTGAGATGGAATACCTCAAAGGCGCCATTTGTGCAAAATCTTGTTTCAATAACGTCGTTGACTCTGAAATTAAATTTAAAATTGTTATATATGGGAAATCGGTGTGGTTGTCGTCCGATGCCGTTCATTTTCGCTCTTTAGTATAAGAACAATATGGTTAAAATTGATCGAATAGTGACTGAGAAATACGACTTCAACTAGAAATGCACGTGAGAGTTCACATTGTCCAATTTTGATACCAGCTTTTATAAAGCACTCTGTACCATCTCTGGTGTAAAATTTAATGCAATTTTATTATTATTCATTGCAATTACCAACACAACAATTTCGAATTTGATGTCGGCATCAAAATGACAAATTGGTCGTATAAATGTAGTTCACCAGAAGCAACCATGTTTACTTCAAACATTAAACTTTCTGTTTCTGTTTGTAAACAATTAGCAATCTGTTGCTTATGTCTCTATGTAATGCTTTTCATGAACTTTTTTTTAAAGTCGAGACGTGTTAGCGTTCTTCTAGGTTAATCCAAAAACATGTACTATATGTATAATCTTTATGATATCATAGAAAACACATGTTTTTAATAAATAAATACAATATACAATACGTTTATTTTTAAGCTTGAGCTAACTCTTAACATAAATATTCCGAAATTTGGCATATAACTTAATTGAGCTCAATTTGAAAGGATATCATTCACTTTTTGCTAGCGCAACATGTCTTCCTGATGCCAACAGTACAGCAACGGTTGCCACTCGGCGTGTAGATCTGGCAACATTTGACGCAGGTTTTGCAAATGTTACATTTCGAAGCTGAAAAAATGTTAGGAATTTGTGTAAAAATGTCAGGCATATATTGTATTAAACATGTATTGTATTAAAAACAGTGGAATTTGTTTCAAGACTTATTTTTTTGCAAGTATTTAGAAATTACTTACCGTTAATACACTGCTGACAGACCATTTTGTACTTAAAAGATTTTGTTCACTGACTATGTTTTCGTATATTGTTTAATCAAAATGTGATGAGTGACTGCTGTGCGATGATAATACAAAACTCTTTTATACAACAGCTTAATAATGTTAATTCAAATTGGGAATGTTTCTGCAATGACGTGCGCAAATTAATTGCGATATTTGTAGTCTTATCAATAGGTAAGCACTTTAATACGCATTTTGCGCTCAGCTCTATGGTATGGTATTATTTTACTTCAGCGATAACAAAAACAAAACACGTTTTCTCTTAACAGTTGGGAATAATTATTTAGGTAATCGCACTTTCTTTTATCTATAATGAATCGTGGTAGACATAGTCACACACTTTCCTATATTTAACACTTCCAATAAAAACCAGACAGTATGTATAATATATAGTTTTTTATTCGAGAGCATTAGGATTTATCGATATATCGATCACTTGATATTTTATAATTATAATTTTTTAATAAAAATCAACATAACACTCAAAATGGATTATAAAACATATAATGGAAATTATAATTACCTGAATTATTTTTATCAGAATAATAAGCACTAATTTCAATACTTGGGTGTTTTCAATAATTGCAGTGAAGAATTTAGTGTACTCGTATTCATGATGAAATTGCTATTGTTGTTAGAGCTACTACTCACACTGCTACTCAGAAATTGGGTTAGGTCGCCGAAATGACAGCCCTGGTAATATACAATGATTGCTCAAGCCCGGTCTAAGTTATTTATGATACTCTTTTTATATACATAAAATAACCATATCCATATGTTACGCACTGAATATCTTCGGGAAACCAAAGAAAAATTCCAGGGCTAACCGGGCATCTCGACAAGCAATTTATGATTACTAAAAATCTGTATTGCTAAAAACATGCTGTATTGGAGACTGCACATTGCTAAGGTTTAGCAATTGATGTCTCAATATATTTGATTCCATCCATTGCTAGCATTAATTGTAGAAAATGTCATTTTGGAGGTTTGACAGAGCTGTTTTAATTTTCACACACATATTGAAGAGTCAACATGTACAAGCATAGTTTCAGTATAATGATGCCAGCAAAGCTGACATGCTAATGCCCCGTGTTTTACGTTTTGTTGCGTAAGCTGCAATTTAGTAAAATATAACTTTTAAACAAAGATGGAAAATAGTATTATATATATACATACCGAAACCATTCGGGAATGATTATTTTATAATAGCAAATGCCCACATAAGAACATTGCCAAACACAATGGCAATGTATTTGACAGATGGTGAGCAATGTACATTGCCTGAGAAGATGCGGCGTAAGACAAGTGCTAACCAAAAGTCAGTCAGTTCTAGGGCCATACATCGATTATAGCAATATTATTATACATCATTTCACGAATCATTTTGAAGTTTGCTTCAGAGGTAAGGCCTTATCTCGGCGATTATAACGATTCAATATCATTAAATTTCATTCCAGAAAACGTTCGCTTGAGGTTTGCCATCGTTTTAATTAATTTGTGATCCTGATGAAACAGCACTTGCTTCTTTTTGAAATTGGTCGTTTCGCGACCTCAAAGCTATATAATAGTCCTTTTTGATAGTTTTTTCTCTTTCAAGGTAGTCGAATACCATTACTTATCAAAGCACTCTTTGATATCAGTTGCACAACGTTACTCATAATGTTATGTTTCACGACCCAATTTTTAGGCAACTGTGAAATCGAGGGTAGGTCCAACTATAAAACATACGGAACCCCACAGTGGCCACCTTTAACTTTTTTTAGCTTACCTGTAACGGCGAATTAAACTGGAAAGATACTAGAAACTTACTTTTCTTAATTCCCGAAATCCAAAATACAAAGAAAATGCACATTCGCGTCTTACATTCCTTGACATAATGGTCTGCATATTTTTGGTTCACTTTCTCAAAGAATAAAAATTGCAAATATGTGGCAAATGTAATTGGAAATTACAGTTGTACGAGTACAAGTAATGGACGCCATTCCTTTACTTTAACAATCGCAGCACAGTTTTCGCGTCAGCCTCAATGTTCGGTTGGTCTCTTCCTTTAAAACGACAAATACAGAGAAAAATACACAATTTATACCATCTCCTCTGCTCTTCAAAACCATAGCCTGCGTTCGTGGCCCCATGCCGCTTTACGCAACGCGTTTTCATTCGTGTAAATCTGTAGACACTGGCGCAAGTTGTTAGACCTCCACAAGCGTACTCACATAATGTAAGTATGTGCGCTAGAGTTACGATGTTTGGAAGCAACGCTGTGCAAAAGAGAATTTAGCGCGCAGTGTCATGCCGTGCCGCCTGGACCACCACCAACAATACAGCGCACAGCGGCAATTTTATTTCGCATTAAGAGATTAAAATCGAAATTAAAAATTTAAATTAAACGTTTGCGCGCAAAATCATTTCAATCCTCGAAAATGTATGCTGTGTGGGGGACGCCAATGGCAGCTGCCGACTGGCTGAAGCGACGCTGGTCATGGTGTAAATTACATGACATTCTTGATATGGGAAAATGTTTTTTTATCCACTTTTTAAATAGTATATGAATAGTTTCAGCAGAAGTAATGGTTAATTAAAGTATAACGGTGGAAAAAATTATTGTATTTACGAGAGTGTTTTTAGGTGAAGATATTTAAAAGACAAACTTAAAGCAGCGAAGAAACCATGAAAGGTAGAAATATTTATATAAAGTGTCCTGATAATACAAATAAAACATATGGATACGAATACTTAAGACCCAGACGCGTGATGAGACAGGTTGTGATGGGAGCAAAGCGATTACTTTAGCTCGTCAACTATATGAATTTTATATGTCTCGTGTTTTCTTCAGACACCTTATTTGTGCTCCCCTAAGAATCATCCAGAAAAACTATCTAACCGAATCCATGTAAGGATTTCACACTTTAGTAAACAATAAAAACGTTTACGATTTTGAAAACCATATCATGCCTCTCCAGTAGTTCCAATATCGCTTAAGCATGTAACTATTGAAGAAATGCATAAAACTATCTACAAATTAAATAATGCCTCAGTGGAAATAGAACTGTCCTCCAAGCTCTCTGTTAAGTTTACTAAAAATGCCTTTCTCTACTTACATTCTATAATAATTAGAGCCAGATCTAATATACCGCTTTTAAATTAAGCTACTTTTAAGCAAGGCATCGAAAAATTCAATCTACGAAATACTTTTTATATGTTTTGATCGGGTCTTTAGTTTCTTCAACGAACTTCTTTTCATAGCTTCAAGAGGCTTGTACTCCGAAGAACATATTTGCATTTTGGCAAGAGCAAAAGTTACAAAGACCCAATACGAACAAAAAAAATTGCCTGAGCATTGATTTTTTTCTGGGTTTTGTAAGCAAATACTTGATTTGTAACTTCTACTTAGTTTTTTTTTTGAAAATTAGTCGAATGTTTATGAAAAAAATCATAATCTATACTTAAAATGATTGTTGAGCAGAGGTGCTTTGAAGACTCGTATAAGAGAAGTACACTATGATCTCATTAATAGGTTTTCCCTCAGGTACTTGTTTTTTCGATAAAAATAGACAGCGCTTTGAAAAGGTCGATATCGGTGTCTTTTATCGAAAACATAAAAATTCGAGAATAAATTACAATATTTTCGAAATAAAAAATAATCACAACAACAGACACTCGTACAGACAAGTATTTCAAAATAAGCAGAAAAAAATTACTTGGTATAATTCCAGTGGTTCAGTTTATTCACACTAGGGTATATGCCAATAGATAAGGCCGTAACGATGTTAAAATTTTCTATCAATTCTTGGTAATGATTCTGATCAAGCAGAAACCAAGAGCGTCCCGCAGATACAAAATATTAAATTGCGACTTCGGGTTTTGATGTGCAAAAAAAAATAATGGATCTAACATCTGAATACTTCTTTTAACAATTTAATGCGTCCCTCTTCCAACTTGTCTCTCTGACAAACAACTGCCTTAATAATACCCTAAACAGGGTTTATTAAGTTCGCCACGATGTTAGTAACACCCGAAAGGAAGCGCCAGAGACCCTATCAATGATCAGCGTGATTTAGCCATTTTTGTCTATCCGTCCGTCTCTCCGACTGTATATATACGAACTAGTCTCTCACTTATGAGATATTGGTCTGAAATTTTGTGCCCGTTCTTTTCTCCTCAAGAAACTACTATTTGTCGAGACGTTCGATATCGTACCACTATAGCTTATAGCTGCCATACGAACTGAACGATCATAATCAATTGCTTGTATCGTATCATTTGACAAGATATCACGTCATAGGTTATTGCCTAAAACGATGATGCAATCTCCGAAGAAATTGTTCAGATGAGATCACTATAGCATATAAATATGTAGAGGTCATACAAACTGACCGATGAAAGTTCTTGTAATGAATATTTGGTATTTGGCTTCAGTGCAACCGAAGTTAAAGTTTGTTCTTATTTTTGATTTGCTTTGAAAGGACGATTGAAAAAACCTTGAATGGAAAAACTGTTCCATGTGAGTAATAAAAGGCGAACTCAACCGGACTCGTCCGTTATAACTGCGACAGAAATCTCAACTAGAAAATAATTGAATTGATACTAAGTCAATATTTTGGAATGGACCTTACGATAGGTCTAGTTTTCGAGAAGATCAACTAAAGAGTAGTCTTAATTAACAACTTAAACCGCCCAGCCAAACTTCTTTTAGGAAGAAAATGAAGCAACTTGCCAACCAAACCAAGCGATGAACCGTTAAAGATAACAAATATTATTCCTGGTGCACATACTCATATATTTGACGCACTGACAGCCCTATCACCTTTTCCTGAGAAATTTCGTGCATTTTAATTACGAAAACACCGCCCATTGTTGTTAATATTTTTTGAAACCCCATTATTCCTGCACTACCAGCTATGATTATTTTGACTTTTTTCTAGCATTAGTTGTAGCATTAAACTCTCTTTTTTTTTTGGTATTTTTTCACTTTCCAAAGATTTAACATTAATTTCACAAAAAATAAACAAATTTCACAAACATATAAAAACCATGTATATATGTAGGTATACAATATACTTTACATTGTTTTGAAATGAATTTTTTGTTTTAATTTGAAATTCAAAA